CTGAGTTTGATCTCTGGTACAAAAAAAAAAAAAAGAAGAAAGAAAATAAAAGTGCAAATTATCTAATACTTCTCAAAAGAAGAAATACAACCAGGCGTGGTGGCACATGCCTGTAACCCCAGCACTCAGGAGGCTGAGGCAGGAGGATGCTGTGAGTTCCAGACCAGCCTGGGCCACTAGTGAGTTCCAGGTTAGTCTCAACTACATAGTGAGACCCTGTCTTAAACAAACACACAAACAAAGAAATACAAATGGCCAACAAATATATGAAAAAGTGTTCAATATGATTAATCAAGGATATGCCAATCAAAAGTACAATGACATAATCTCAACCGAGTGAGAATGGCTACCATTTAAAAAATGTTAGCAAGGGTTTGGAGAAAGAAGAAATTATCATGCACTCTTGGTGAGAATGTAACTTAGTAAATGATTATGGAGACCATATGGATGTCCTCAAAATAATAAGAATAAATCTGCCCTATGATTTAACTATCCTATTTCTTCGTTACATCCAAAGAAAATGAAATCAGCATCCCAAAGAGACACTTGCACAGCCACGTTTATTGTGGCACTACTTATAACAGCTAAGCTGGAATCAGCCTAGATGTCCATCAACAAAGAATGGATAAAGAAAATATATGTATATATACATGATAGAGCATAATTCCTCTACAAAGAATGAAATGCCCTTGCAAGAAATGGTTGGAACTGGAAGACATTACTGAAGTGAAATAAACCAGACATACAAAGCTATTGGAATCTGCCTAGGCACTCAGCAGTGGATAAATGTTATACAGACACAATGGAATATTATTCAGCCATTAAAAATATTGGAAACCTGTCATATGCAGCAAAATGGATAGAACTAGGGGCTGTGGTCTTAAAAGAAATAAGCCATACACAAGAAGACAAGTACCCCACCTTATCTTTCATATATGGAAGTTTTTTTGTTTTTTAGTTTTTTTTGAGACAGGGTCTCACTATGTAGTTGAGACTGACCTGGAACTCACAGCAATCCTCCTGCCTCAGCCTCCCGAGTGCTGGGATTACAGGTGTGTGCCACCATACCAAGCTATGGAAGTTGGAAGTTAGTGGTCTTAAAAGAAATAAGCCATACACAAGAAGACAAGTACCCCACCTTATCTTTCATATATGGAAGTTTTTTTGTTTTTTAGTTTTTTTTGAGACAGGGTCTCACTATGTAGTTGAGACTGACCTGGAACTCACAGCAATCCTCCTGCCTCAGCCTCCCGAGTGCTGGGATTACAGGTGTGTGCCACCATACCAAGCTATGGAAGTTTTTAAAAAGTTCGCTTCAATGTAGAATAGTGAATAGTGATTACTAGAGGTTGGAAAGTGAGAGGTAGAGGAGGCAGGGTGAATAAAGGGAGGTTGGATTTAATCAGTGCATGTACTGAAATATACTGACTCCCATTAATGTGTATTATAAATACATGGTTATCAAAAATTTAAAAAGAGAAATGTGAAATTTTAAATTCAGATAAAAAACTGCTGATACAAAGCAAGGTAAAGGAAGCAAGTAGAACAGTTGTTTTGTTTTGTTTCTTCTTAGACAGAGTCTCATTAAGTTACCAAATTCCCCAGACTATGATCAAACTTGTGATCCTCCTACCTCAGCGTCCCACTTTACTGGGAGAACCACACCCAGCTAAAACATGTAGCTGCATTAATTTTTTTCCCCAGTACCAGGGATCAAACTTAGGACCTTGCACTTGCAAGGCAGGAGTGGTACCACTGAGCTAAATCCCTGGCCCTAAACATATAATTTCAACAAAGAATTTTTTTAGGGCCGGGGATTTAGCTCAGTGGTTCTGCTGCCTGCTTCACAAGTCCAAGGACGAGTTCGATCCCCAGTACCCAAAAAAAAAAGGATTTTTTTTAGTTTTTACATTTTTGGATTTTTTTTGTGGGGGGGGACATTGGGGAATCTAACTTGGGTCCTTGTGCTTGTGAGGCAGGTGCTGGAACCACTGAGCCAAATCCCCGGTCCATAGTTTTTACATTTTTATTAGTTCACGTTTGCAATACGTAATGCATACGTTCTTTGTGGGGAGTTGGTAATGTACATAAAACATCTTAATTTTTTTATCCCCTTCCCCTTCCTTCTCCTCTCCTTCTATCTCTTGATCTCCTTCCCATTTGAGAATGATCTATCTCACTGCTTTCTATTATCTATCTTTTATTTTCCCTTTATTTCTATTTTGGTTTTCTCATATGAGAAACCATGTGATATTTAAGCTTATGTGTCTGATTTATTTTACTTAATATATGGTCTCAAGGTGTATCCATTTTCCTACAAAGTTTATCCTTTTTTTTTCAAGTTCATCCTTGTTTATGGCAGAGTACTGCTCAAATTGATCTATACTATAAAGTGAATGCTCTGTCAGGACTGAAAAGCCCGTCTATTAAACATAATGTCACTCCCCTGCAATTGTGGGTTAGGCCCTGGCAAATCAGAGGCCAGTAGTGTAAATAAGGTGAATGGTTTTTAGATAAATAATAGAAGTACCCTGAGGGTCTTTATAAGTATAGATCTTCTAACTAGTCAGGATTTTGAGGCTGGGGATTTAGCCCAGTAGCACCATGCCTGCCTTAGAAGTGCAAGGTCCTGAGTTCAATCCCTGGTACCAAAACAAACAAACAAGCCGGGCATTGTGGCACGTGCCTGTAATCCCAGCACTCAGGAGGTTGAGGCAGGAAGATCACTGTGAGTTCGAGGCCAGCCTGGACTACAGAGTGAGTTCCAGGTCAGTCTCAACTACATAGTGAGACCCTGTCTCAAAAAAAAAAGGAAATAAGGAAATAACAAACACAGTCAGGAGCAAATAATTTAATTTTGGATGCTTAAGAGTTGAAAAAACTCATTTGCATGTTTGTGTGTGTGCGTGTGGCGGGGGTACCAGGGATTGAACTCAGGACCTTGTGCTTGTGAGGCAGGTGCAGTGCCACTAAGATAAATCTCCAGCTCTGGAATGATTTTGATCTGTAACACGGACTACTTGTTGTTTGTTATAGTGTGACTCTTCAACTTCCCTCAGGGATGGAGATATAAATCAGAGGTAGAGCACTTGCCTAGCATTCACTAGGCCCTAGGTACCATTCCCAGTACATCAAAAAATAAAATTAAAAGTCCTGAGGTCCAGGGACTTGGCTCAATGGTCTGCTGCCTGTCTCTCAAGTGCAAGGGCCTGAGTTCAATCCCCGATATAAAAAAAAAAAAGTCCTGAGATGTCCTCCCAATGATCCTGTGATAAAAGCCTTGCTCTCTGCTGATGGCTCTATTAGGAATCAGGGAAACTCCAGAAGGTGGGGCCGAGTTGAGGAAGTACTCACTGGACATGTGCCCTGAAATATCTTGTCCCCAGTTTCTCTCTCTCCTCTTCTTTCTTCTTTTCCCTCCCTTCTCTCTCTTTCCCTCTCTCCCGCTCCCACTCCTGTCCTTTCCCCTCTAACCCCCACCCTCCTGACCACTTTCCTCTACTACACACATCCACCATAGTGTCCTCACTTACCACAGGCTTAAGAGCAATCAGGCCAAGCGAGCATGGACTGAAACTATGAGCCAAAGCAAACCTTTCCTCCTTTAAGTTGTTTTCTCTTAGGTATTCTGTCAAAGCAATGCAAACCTAACAAAGTATTTAAGCCATATAGTACTTTACTGGGGAATGTGATCCTATAGCAACACTGTTTCAAATGAAAAAGGAACATGCCCTCCATATAGTTACCATTTAAATCATTAAGTGTACTGTTCCACGGCATAAGAATATTTATATTGTTGTTGTGTGAACATTACACCACCATCCTCTACAGGCAGTCAGATGCCTCATTAGCTTCCTAATTAGAAAATAAAGGTATTATGAGCCAGTAATACTAACACCTAGAGGCTGAGGCAGGAGGATTGCAAGTCTGAGGTCAGTCTAGAATACATACAGAGTTCAGTCAGCCTGGACAATATACCTAAGTTTTGTCTCCAAAAACTCAAAAAAAAGGAACTGGGGATTTAGCTCAGTGGTTCCACTGCCTGCCTTGTAAACTCAAAGTCCCAAGTTCAATACCCAGTACCTCCTCCACAAAAGAAAAAAACTCAAAAAGAAAAAAATTAACTCTTTAAACTAAAAAGTCATTTAGAAAATAAAACTCACCATAACCACTTTTTTTTATATTATGTGACTTTTTAAGTCCATGCCCCAATTCTTACACATTTTTACAGGTTTGTTATCACACGTATGCAGAAAGTAGACTTGTGGTTTTTATACTTAATATTCCAAATTGTGAATATCCAAAATGAGTTGTAATTTCTATAACTTGTACTAATGGTAACTTCACTGTAGTATGAAAGACAATCACGTGCTATTCGGGCTTGTGCATACAGTCAGGCGCTTCATTTAGGAGAACACTTCAGTACTTTCTGATCATTTGCAGCCACTTCAAGTCATGACAAGCAGTCAGTGAGTTCCCAGCAGTTTTTCCTATATGTGCTGACTTATTTACTCTTACTAGTCATGCTCTAAGTAGGTTCTATAATCACTTCCATGTTAAATATTAATAAGCTGAGCATTTGATATCTTAAGTAACTTTCCAGTTTACACCACTGATAACGAAGCCAGGTTTGAAACCCGAGTAACCTGCTCCAAAGTCCATGCTCTGAATCATAATGTTTTATTATTTCTCAAATACATATGAGCTCCTGTACTTACAAAATGATTACTTATTCTTTCTGAAAAAGGCCCACAAAGTAAAGCTATGAATACTATGTCTGAATGTGAGGATTATCAGAAGCCTACAGTTATTATCCCACGAGAAGCAAAGATACCACTTTTTGTGATTTTTATTTTTTTGGTAGTAGTAGAGTTAGGGTTAGAATCCAGGACCTCACTACACATGCTAGGCAAGCATTCTACCATGAGCGATATCCTCATCCTAAAATTTAACCCTGGTACTGATTGTTAAGGCATTAAGAACTGAAAGAGTACTATTACCTTTCAACAACTTGTTTATGGACAATGTTCCACTGTTCTTTGTCTGAGTCAGTTCCTAATTCAGGGTTCAGAGATTTTAGAGGAACACCAGCAACATTCACCCCACTCCATAAAGGCACTAAAAAAGTATATACACACATTTAATGCATATATTAATATATCATTATTTTATATATTATAATATACTATAATACATGTGTATTATCTTATATATTTATATATAATGTGTGTATATATCAGAATAAACTCTTCTTTCTAATATTGCATCAGCTATTTGAGTTCAGTGTCATGTTTTTCAAGGTAGATTACTAACATATACATATATATATGTTTCAAATGGAACAAAGAAATAACATTACAAAGTATTAAAAAGTATACAGCAAAATTTATAACTGTGGTGTAAGAGGTATTTTAAAGCAATATAAACATGCAGGCTCCACAAAGAACAGGATTGATAATTAAAATAAAATATAATAAGCTATTAGAGGGAAAGTGATAAGTCAATGCCATGCTTCTCAACATTAGCACTGAACATTAGCAAGAACTGAACGAGGGTAACTATCGCTGTAGTCTCATAACCAGGTAAATAATATTCTGAAACAGACAAAACCAAAGCACCCTCGTATAGTAACACTGACCAGATACGGCTGAGGAAAAAACTGAGTCCAGAAGAAGGAGTACGATGCAGGAAATAAAGAAGAGCACTGAAACCGGCAAACATGTACGGTAACTGTGTCCCATTGATGGTTACCCAACTCTGTGAATACAATCAGTGAACTGTACACTTTAAGTGTGTGAATTCTATGACACATGAATACTATCTTTTTTTTTTTTTTTTTTTTGAGACAGGGTCTCACTATGTAGTTGAGACTGACCTGGAACTCACTATGTAGCCCAGGCTGGTCTCGAACTCACAGCGATCCTCCTGCCTCAGCCTCCCGAGTGCTGGGATTACAGGCGTGCGTCACTATGCCCGGCTATATGAATACTATCTTAACAAAGCTCAAAAAATTCACAATATTACCTGAATATGGTGGCACACAGCTGTAATCCCAGCACTCAGGAGGCTGAGGCAGGAGGATTGCCATGAGTTCATAGTGAGTTTAACACCAACAAAAAAGAAAGAAAAAAAACAATACTGTAAAGTACGAAGTGCTCTAGTTAAATGAAACACGCAGATTGATTTTTTTTTTTTTTTGTATCTTAGATCCTAGTCGTGATGGTACACGCCTGCAACCCCTGCACTCAGGAGTCTGAGGCAGGAGGGTCATCGTGAGTTTCAAGCCAACCAGGCCTACACTGAGTTCAAGGCCAGCCCAGACTACAGAGTGAGACCCTGTTTCAAAATTTTTTTAAAAAGTCAAAATATTTAAACAGATATTTCTGAAAAGAAGATATGTAAATGACCAAAAGGTATATAGAAACATGCTCAACATCACTGATCAGAGATATACAAATCATAACCACATGAGACATGATCTCTCCTGAGTCAGAATAGCTATTTCCAAAAAGACAAAAAAGGGCTGTGGATTTAGCTCAGTGGCACCGCGCTCACCTCACAAGTGCAAGGTCCTCATTTCCACCCTGGTACCACCCCCCAAAAAAGAAAAAAAAAAACCTAAATACAGCTAAGACTATAAAAGGAAACTCTATGCCCTATTGGGAAAAATAGAAATCATTACAACCATATAGAAAACAGTATGGAAATGCCTCAAAAACTAAAAAAACAATTTTTTTTTAATCTAAAATTTCGGGCTGGGGATTAAACTCAGTGGTGCCACTGCCTGCCTCACAAGTGCAAAGATCCAAGTTTGATCCCTGGTACCAAAAAAAGATAAATCTAAAATTAGAATTACTATATAATCCAGCCATCCTACTACTGCACATATAACCAAAGGAAATGAAATTAGCATAATGAAGATCTTGGCATACCTATGCCCAACAGCCAAGATTTCGCATCAACCTAAATATCCAACAACAAATGAACTGATAAAGAAAATGCAATGGGCTGAACGTGGTAGAACTGGTACACCAGTATCCCAGCACTCTGGGAATCTGAGGCAGGTAATGCTAATTATCCTGATTTGGTCATTGCATAATGTACACAGCTGTGGGCTGGCTCATCACACTGTACCTCTTAAATATGCATAATTATGTGTCAGTTACAATTATTTTAAAACAAAGGAACAGAAAAAAGATATGCTAGGGAAATAGCAACAAAATAAACCATATGTAGATATATTAATCTCTGAAAATATATTCTAAAGAAAATAAGTATTAATAAAATACATAATAAAGGGGCTTGGGATTTAGCTCAGTGGCGCCACTCCTGCCTCGCAAGCACAAGGTCCTGAGTTCCATCCCCACTACCAGAAAAAATAAAGTAGGTAGTAGGGACCTGGGATTTAGCTCAGTGGTTCCGCTGCCTGCCTCACAAGCTCAAGGTCCTGAGTTCAAGCCCCAGTACCCCCCAAAAAAGGTAGTTGCCCACTAATAATAGGTTTATACTTACCACTAGAATCATCATGTTCTCCAATAATCCAACCATGGCAGCTTGCAGGATGGACACCCAACTTCTCTCCAATTAGGTAACGGAAACGGGCAGAGTCTAGATTACAACCACTTCCAATTACACGGGTGGCAGGTAAGCCACTTATCTTCCAGACCACAAATGTCAAAATATCCACTGGGAAAAAAATTCCATGTTAGAAGAAAGTTCATAGTAACTTCTTTTTCTACTTTGCTTTTCTAATAGGTAGATGAAATGTTTTGGAGTCAAATATAAGCTCACTCCAAAGTACAGCAAATCAACCAAGAAATATGGATTATCAGTTATGAGTTTATTAAAATGTTAAATTACTCATTACCAGAATCTTTTTTGGGGGGGTACCAGGGTAGAACTCAGGACCCTGTTTGTGAGGCAGGTGGCAGCACCACTGAGCTAAATCCCAGGCCCCTTTACCTGAATTTTAAAGGAAAAAAAATCTTTTGAGAGCAGGGCATGGTGACACATACCTGTAATCCCAGCACTAGGGAGGCTGAGGTAGGAGGACCGCTGTGAGTACAAGACCAGCCTGGGCTACATAGTGAGTTCCAGGTCAGTCTCAACTACATAGTGAGACCCTGTCTCAAACCCCCCCCAAAAAAAGGTAATAATAAATAATACAAGAATGTCTCACCAAATATACAATATCAATAAATAGGAATTATGCAAAGGAACAAATGAAAATTCACTAGACTGGCTCAACAGCAGATTGAGAAGTTACTGAGTCAAAAGAATTGCTAACTTAAAAGGTGAATAAACTGAAATTTTCCAGTCTGAGAAACAAAAGAACTGCTGTATTTGTACAACTTTGTGAACATCCTATATAGCACTGAATCCATCGTACACTTGAATTATGTTACATGAATTTCACTTTGACTTTTTTTTTTTTGTACCAGAGATTGAACTTGGGCCTTTGCACTTGTGAGGCAGGCGGTGGAACCACTGAACCAAATCCCTGGCCCACACTTTGATTTTTTAAAATGAAAGATGAACAGAGCTTAAGGGATTTCTCAAACACTAGCCAGAAAACCAATACACATTATTTGGCAAAACTATCCTGCAAAAATGGAGGGGCTGGGCTGGGGATTTAGCTCAGTGGCACCACATCTGCCTCACAAGTGCAAGGTCCTGAGTTCGATCACTGGTACTGCCAAAAAAAATGGAGGGGTTATGGCATGGCTCCATGGTAGAGAGAGCTTGGTTAGCGTGCACAAGACCCTGGGTTCTATCCCAGGAGGAGGAGTACACAGGGGAAGAGAAGCTGAGGCTCAAATTCTAAGAACTGATAATGCCAAATACTGGCAAGGATGTAATGCAACCAGAACTCTTACAGTGCTTGTAAGAATGTTTAAAAGATACAACAACTTTGAAACAGTCATTGCTGGTTTCTAATAGAATTTAAACACACACTGACCATATAACCCATCCTAGGTTTTTATGCAAAAGAAATGAAGATGTACAATTATGCAAAATTCATACACAAACAGTTATATCAGTTCATAATAGCCTCAAACTGGAAATGTGCCAAATATCTACCAACAGGTGAACAGAGTATTTAAAATATATAAATACAATAATATTCTTCAAGCCAGGTGTGGTGATGTAGCGCTCAGGAGGCTGAAACAGGATGATAGTGAATTTAAGGCCAGACTGGAATACACAGCAATATCAGTCTCAAAAAGATGGTAAGGGGGAGAAGAAGAGAAAGAGCAAGCAGAGGAGGAGAAGGAAAAGGAGGAGGACAAGAAAGATGAGGAGGACTAAGAGGAAGAGGAGGAGGAAGAAGAAAATATAAAAAGGAAGAAGTTGGACATGGTGGCACATGCACTGGGGAGGCTGAGGCAGAAGGGTTGCTGCAACTTTGAGACCAGCCTGGGCTATATAGTGAGTTCAAGGCCAGCCTGAACATACAGCAAGACCATGCCTCAAAAAAAGCCTAAAAATAAAAAGGAACTCGTCACCAAGATAGTACCCAACAACATGAATTATTTCCAAAATAATTATGTTGTGTGAAAACAGCCAGGTAGAAAAAAAGCCTTTTCACTGTGATTCCACTCATACAAAGGTCCAGAAAATGAGGCCAGAGGTGGAATGAGGGATGAACCAGAAAGGAGCCAAAAGAAACTCTCAGAGATAACTGAAATGTTCTGTACTTTGATTGTAGTGGTGGTAAAGGACTACATTTATCAATACTGTTTGCACTGTTTCTTTGAATGGGTACAGTTTATTATGCATAAATGTTACCTCAATGAAGTTTAACAAAAGAAGGAATGATATGGAGAAATTATCCTTCTGTGATAAAAGGGAGGAGAAAAGACTCACCTGGATTTGAAACAATAAGCATTTTGCAATCAGGACTATGCTGGACTATGGGAGGAATGATAGATTTCATGATATTCACATTATGTTGGACCAGAGCAAGGCGACTTTCTCCCTCCAGCTGCCTTGCACCTGCTGTGACAATAACTAATTTGGAATTTGCAGATATCTTGATATCTAAAAAGGAAACAAGACTGTATTTGGATCAAGGTTGCTGCAGTCATTATGCCTTAACTCTTTTAAAAATCTGTTGTGTATTATTGATATCATGCCTGGCATTTGCAGAGTGACCGTTCACACAGTAGTACTATTATCTTGTATAAACTGAATAAGTCAGCTGGGGGTGGTGGCACACACCTATAAACCCAGCACTGGGGAGGCTGAGGCAGGAGGATCCCTGTGATTTTGAGACCCGCCTGGGCTACATAGTGAGTTCCAGGTCGGTCTCAACTATATAGTGAGACCGTCTCAAAAATAAATAAATTAAGTAAAATAAACTGAAGAAGTCTTGTCACTACCACTTGCTAAATTTCACAAAGCCACCTCTGAATTTTTTATAACAAAACCTTCTATCCCATTTAGCCCACATTCACATTCATTGTAAGACCCAAGGCAATGGAAGCCCTCTGATTTCTTAGAAACAGTATGATAAAAGTTTAGAACTCTAAAAATATATGTGTCTGTTTTAGGATTCTAAGAGCAAGATATGGATACAGGTATAAGAACTTGAACTTGCTGTGCAGCCCAGGCTGACCTTGAACTCTCCATACTAATTTCAGCTTAGCAAGTGCTTGGATTACACATATATACAGATATACATCATTTTCCTTTTTGAGACAGGGTCTGGCTATGTAGCTTAAGGTATCCTCATACTCACTATGTAGCCAAGGCCAGCCTCAAACTTGCAATCCTTTTCCTCAGTCTTAACTTCTAATTACTATAAGGGACTGTACTTGATATCATAAACAAGTTCTTGATCAACAAAAGAAAATAAACTTTTTTGGGCAAGTATGGTGGTAGATGTCTGTAATCCCAGCACTCAGGAGACTGAGGCAGGAGGATCGCTGTGAGTTCAAGACCAGCCTGGACCACAGCAAGACCCTCTCACAAGAATTTTTTTGTTGTTTTTGTTGTCCTTAATGTACTCCCATATGCCATGAATACCTATTCATACACTTCCTCACACTTAAATGCTATTACATTTTGCCAGTGTATAACTGTACATTGATATACTTTTCATCTTCCTTTCCATAGTTATTGAGATTGTGTTTTCCTATATTTATAGGCCATTTCAATTTCTTCTGTCGTGAAATGTTCAAATCTTTACCATTTTTCTATTGGGCTATGTATATTTATCTTGATCCCTATAAAAGTGTTTTTATTCAGAACACTATTCCTTTGTCAGTTATGTTGCAAATATTTTTCTCACTTTATACTCTCTTCACTCTTTTAGTGTCTTTTTGTATTGTTATTGTGTGGGGGTTTTGTGGCTTTTTTTCCCCAGTACTGGAGATTGAATCCAGGGCCTCATGCATGCTAGGCAAGCACTCTACCACTAAACTACATCCCTGGCCCAACCCATCCTGCTTCTTTTTTTCAGACTTGTGGGGAATTTGTGATCCTCCTGTCTCAGCCTGTCAGGGATTACAGGTGTGTGATACCACACTCAGCTACAGTGTCTTTTTTGATCAACACAAAATCTTTATTTTTCCCCCAGTTCCAAGTGTCAAACTCAGGACCTTGCACTTGCAAGTCAGACGCAGTGCCACTGAGCTAAATTCCCAGCCCTCAAACTCCTCTTAATCTTATGTTGTTTATTGTTTGTGATTTTTCCAACTTTGTGTTTAAGAAATTCTTTCCCTACATCTGTAATCCCAGCACTCGAGGGGCTGAAGAAGGAGGATCACAAGTTTGAGCCCAGCCTGGGCAATTTAGTGAGATCCTTTCGCAAAATAAATAAAAACTAGCCTAGGGACATAGCTCAGTGTGAAGGTCCTGAATGCCGTCTCTAGTACCACCAAAAAACAAAACTGTTTTTTATAATTTCTTGTTTCATGCTGTTTTTGAGTTTGTCCTTTCTTTAAACAGAATAATACTTAAAAAACAGAACGCTATTTGTTCTATAATTCTTTTGATAATTTTGAATTCAAACTAGCTTGTCTGTCATCTCTGGTCATTCTCGTTTACGCATTTTCTTGTAGATTATTCTACTATGAAATGCTCATTTTCCTTGGAATTTTATTTATGAAAGTTCTTCAAACCTGTTACTCCAGCACTCAAGAGGATGAAGCAGGAGTATCATTGCAAGCTCAAGGCCAGCCTGAACTATATTGTGAGACTTTGTCTCAAAAAACACACAAAACAGATGGAAAACAAAAAAGAAAGTTCTCTGAAGCCTGGAATAAAGTGACTTTCCTCCGGAGAAGTAAGAGCTGGCTTGCTGCTCCAAATTCGAAGTAGTCTTTTCCTGCACTAGAGCACCTGAGAAACTCATTTTTACTTCTCTGGCTTCCAAGAGCTGGGAGAGGATAACTGGAAAATCTTTCTAGGTCATACTTTTTGTTTTTAGGTTTTGTGTGTGTGTTTTGGGACAGGGTCTCCCTGTTTAATCCAGGCTGGTCTAAAACTCACTGTGTGGCCCAGACTGGCCTCGAACTCACAGCAACCCTCCTGCCTCAGCCACCCGAGTGCTGGGATCACAGGTGTGCACCACCACACCCAGCTAGATCATCCGTATGTCTGGGATTGGTAAAGGACAGCCCCCACCTTGTTTTGACCATACATTTTTGCTTACATATTGTCTATGGCTGTTATTGCACTACGTCAGCAAAATTGAGTAGTTGAGAAGGACACATTATCCAGCAAAGCCTAAATTATTTACTCTCTGGTTCCTCACATAAAATGTACTGGTTGGGTGTGGTGGCACATGCCTGTAACCCTGGCACTTCAGAGGCCGAGGCAGGAGAAACATCGCAAGTTTGAGCCTAGGTGGGGTACACAGTGAGTTCAAGGCCAGCCTGAACTACACAGCAAGACTCTGTCTCAAACATTTTTTTTTTTTTTTACGGACCCCTAGTATAGTTCTTTGGGGTCTGGTGAACTCCTATGCAACCTCCCAATTAGGTTCTGTCTCTGGCCTCCTAAATCCCATGAGACAGTGAACACCAAAACTGATACTAGGTTTGGATAACACGATTAGGGTAAAAATGAGCTAAGTGTTCTACTTAACTCTGGTTTCCTTAATTCATTGTACTTGTTTTTTTAATTGGTGTTTGTTTTGTTTTTGTTTTTGTTTTTGAGAAAGGTTCTCATTATGTCCTCCAGGCTGGCGTTGAACTCACTATGCAGTCTGGGCTGGCCTCAAACTTTGGGCAATCCTCTTGCCTCAGCCTCCCTGAGATTACAGGCATGTGAATTCATTGTATCTTTTGAAAATGCCTCACTTTGTAAGTGACCTATCATTTTTGTTTTGTTTTGTTTTGTTTTTTTGAGACAGGGTTTCACTGTGTAGTTGAGACTGACCTGGAACTCACTATGAAGCCCAGGCTGGTCTTGAACTCACAGTGATCCTCCTGCCTCAGCCTCCCAAGTGCTGGGATTATGACCTATCGTTTCTTTAAAGATTGACATTTTTTCTTTTCATATTTCATGCAGAATCCTTGTCATTTACAGCAACAGGACTGATTAATCCAAGTATTTATCTTGCCATATTTTTGGAAATTGAAAGGATAACGATTTTCTAAAGTATTTTAGGACAATGGTAGTGCCTTTGACACCATTCAACCTAGTCACCAGATTAACTGATGTAAAATGTAGATACCAAAGCACACGGGATACTCTCAACTACCTGACTACTATCTAGTATGCCTGTGTGCTCTTGCTCATTAGTTGCTGCATATCAAAGAATCTTCATGTTTGTACTCAGATATATTTCTTCTAGTTATCTTCATTATTAACCATATAATAAATCACTACATATGAGTGTGAAAGAAATGCTTACAAAAGATAAACACACCATTCAGGATTTTCAGGATTGAGGATTAATGTGTTAACTGCTAATGTTTCTTTTTGTGGCTACACTAATGTTTCTTTTCTTTTCTTTCTTTTTTTGGTTTTTTTGAGACAGGGTCTCACTATGTAGTTCAGACTGACCTGGAACTCACTATGTGGCCCAGGCTGGTCTTGAACTCATAGTGATCCCCCTGCCTCAGCCTCCCGAGTGCTGGGATTACAGGCGTGCGCCACCCCACCCGGCTACACTGATGTTTCTTATACTCTTCTCTTTCTGCATTTTTTTTTTAGTTTTATTCTTTTGGGGATCAAATCCAAGGCCTTGCACATGCTAGGCAAGGACTCTACCATTAAGCTATACCCTTCTGCCCCTGTTATATTTTCTTTCTTTTTTTTTTTTTTTTTTTTTTTTATTTTTTTTTTTTTTTTTTGGTACCGGGGATTGAACTTGGGACCTTGTGCTTGTGCTTGCAAAGCAGGCAGTGGAACCACTGAGCTAAATCCCCAGCCCCCTGTTATATTTTCTTAATCTTTTCTCTATGTCAAATATTTTATAATAAAATAAATTATAATTATTTCTAAAAAAATTACATTGAATACTTGGGAAAGATATATTAAAAACAAGTAATTTTAACATTTTCCTCTTAGGTGTAGGACAGAAATTCAAATGAAAATAGGGCTAATAGGACCCATTTTCTCACTCCTGTGTTCTATGGCTTTACACTATGCTTTAAAACTATGCTCTATAAACAGAGAGAAAAGCCGGGTGTGGTGGTATATGCCTGTAATCCCAGCACTCAGGAGGCTGAGGCAGGTGGATCACCATGAGTTCAAGGCCACCCTGGGCTGCATAGTGAGTTCCAGGTCAGTCTCAACTACATAGTGAGACATCTCAAAAAACAAAAAACAAAAACCAAAACAAAATACAGAGAAAAAGGTGTGCTGGGAATGGTGATGCTTGCCTGTAATCCCAGCTACTTGGGAGGGTGAGGAACAAGGATCATAAAATGAAAGCTGTCCTGGGCAACTTAGCAAAACATTACCTCAAAAAATACAATTTTTAAAAAAGGCTAACATGTAGTTCAGTGGTAGAGCACTTGTCCAGCATACATGAGGACCTGCAGTTAATCCCCTGTACCACAAACAAGAAAAAAGAAAAAAAAATTAGAGAAACCAGGTAAAAGAATATAGAGAAATATCAAAATGACAAGTTTCAAAACTATCTAGAAAAGGGAAAGACATAAACAATCATTAACAGCCGGGGGGATTTAGCTCAGTGGTTCCAGTGCCTGCCTCTCAAGGACCCCAGTTTGATCCCCGGTACCCCCCCAAAAAAATCATTAACAGAAGAGATGAAAAAATTTTTTTTACATTTTTCTGTATTTTTCCAAATTTCTTCCAATTACAATGAAATGTTCTTCAAATAAAACAAAATACAACTTTTAAGCCAGGTATGGTAGCACACACTAAGGTAGGAGGATTTTAAGTTCAAGTTTACCTTAGGAAATTTAGTGATTTAGCAAGACCCCATCTCAAAATAACAAAACTTTATTTATTTATTTATTTTTTTTTTGAGACAGGGTCTCTCTACATAGTTGAGAATGACCTGGAACTCATTATTTAGCCCAGGCTGGTCTCGAACTAACAGCGATCCTCCTGCCTCTGCCTCCCGAGTGGTGAGATTACAGGGGTGCACCACCACACCCAGCCTAAAAATCTTTTAAATTGTATGACCTATTGACACAATGATATTTTTAATTTTATATTTTTTTATATCCGTTTGGTAAAATTCATTATTTTAAAGTCCTGAAAATAACTTTATAAAACTAAAATTAACCTTTTCCAGAGACAATCTTCGAAGTACTAAAGAAAAGGCTGCCATGCTGAAGATCCATCGTTTTTCCCTTCAATTTGTTCTCTGCGACATCAAAAAGGGCAAGTTCATCCACCAAATCCTAAAATACACGAAAGTTCTGAATAAAATGTTCCTTTTAGTTTTAGGAGAATGAGAGTTTTCATGACTTTTTTTTGTGGGGGGTGGTTTTGAGACAGGGCCTCACTATGTAGTTGAGACTGACCTGGAACTCACTGTGTAGCTCAGACTGGTCTGAACTCACAGCAATCCTCCTGCCTCAGCCTCCCGAGTGCTGGGATTACAGGCTTGCATCACCACGCGCGGCTTGAAACAACTATTAATTACTTTGATTTCATATAATTATTAGATTTTTTTTTAATTGTTTGAGACAGGATCTCACCATGTGGTACAGCCTGGCCTCAAACTCATAACAATTTTCCTGCATCAACCTCCCAAATGCTGGGATTACAGATTATGTGCCACCATGCCCAGCTTGTTACAATTTTTTAAGAATTGGTTTGTCTCACATACACAAACCCTCCACCTCACTTTCAGGTAACATTTTGGTACTGGGGATTAAACTTGGGCACATGCTATTTCAAGGCAGGCAGCGGAACCACTGAGCCAAATCCCCCGCCCTTCAGGTAACAATTTAAAACTAATGAAAAGCTGTAAAGTCCTTTAAAAGGATTACTTTTAACACCTTAATTTCTTCTGTGTATCAGAGGACAAAGTCAACAGAATGAAAAGGAACCTGAGGTGAAAATATTTGCAAATTATATTATGTGATAAATTCTTAATATTCAGTATAAAGAGCTACTGCAACTCAACAAAAACAACCTGATCTTTTTATTGGGCAAAGGACTCACATATCTATTTCTCCAAAGATGAAATACAAATGGCCAATCAGCACATGAAAAGATGCTCAGAAAACAAGACAGAAAAAGTAGCCAGGTGTGGTGGCACACACCTGTAATCCCAGCACTAGGGAGGCTGAGGCAGGAGGATTGCTGTGAATTTGAGACCAGCCTGGGCTACATAGTGAGTTCCAGGTCAGTCTCAACCACACAGTGAGACCCTG